GGAATGGACTTGATGACGTAGAGTTTGAGGGTTGGTGTTTTTGTTTGTCTTGTTTTGTTTTGATGCTGCATGATGCATCTTGAGACCCCTTCCCTAAGATACAAGTCAGTGCTCTCAGGCAAGAATTTCATGACCAGACTCAAAGCCCACTATCATTGAGTTGAATTTGACTCATGGTGACCTTCGTGTTTCCAAGGTTGTCAGTCTACGCGATAGACAGTCTCATCTTTCTCCTTTGGATCCGCTGGTGGGTTAGTAGTCCTGCACCGCCACCCGCCACCATTCTCATCATCAGATGCTGCCTCCGTTCTAGGAACGCGTTGTTTCTACCTGGGGCTGAAAGGCAGAAAGGCAGAAAGGCCTCCAGCATGAAACTTCCGTGGTGTTGTGGTTAAGTGCTGGGCTGTTAGCCTCGAGGCTGATGGTTCAAACCCACCAGCTGCTTTTTTGGGAGAAAGAGGCTGATTCTATAAAAATGTATTGCCTTGGAAACCCTGGGGAAGTTCTACTCTGCCTTACAGGGTCCTATTGATTCAGAATCAATGGACTGGCAATAGATGGATGGTTCCAACAGGTTGGTGCCAGAATTGGGGCCCTACTTGCTCCAGCCCTGATCTGTGAGCATCCTTGAGCATGGGTTGCTGTCTAAGCCACCATTCTGGATAAGTCCCCTTGAAGTTCCCACAGCAGAAAGCTTTTGTTTGCCTTTCTCTGGATCTCCCTTTCTTGCCTCGATGGGAGGTGTTTTGTTCTGTCGTGAATAGGGTCCCGATGCGTCAGAACCCCTTTGATGGCACTGACAGCAACAATCAACTCAAGCCCCACTCACTGCCAGGGAGTCAATGCCTTGCCGCCTCATGGCGACCCTATAGGACAGAGTAGACCTGTCCCTGTGAGTGTCTGAGACTGTAGCTTTTACCAGAGTAGAAAAATCCCATTGTTCTCCCTCAGAGTGGCTAGTGGTTTCGAACTGCTGACTGTGCAGTTAGTAGTCCACAGCAACAGCGTTGTCCTAACACCTGGGGATCATTTTAAAGACCAGACCATCCTTTGCCATCTTCATTTTCTTAAAAAATACAGTGGTAAAATGAAACACCTTAAACTTTAAAAAATCATGACCATTTTCTAGTAGAACCCCTGGTGGCCTAGTAGGTCCATACATTGGGCTGCCAACGGCAAGGCCAGCAGTTGGAAGCCACAGGCCGCCCTGAGGGAGGAGGGCCGTGCTCTGGCCTCCCATCAAGATGCGCAGTCTCAGAAGCCCTCAGGGGCGGGTCCACCCCGTCCCGGGTTGGCTGTGAGTCAGAACGACTCTGGCAGTGAGAAGCACGTTTTCTATTTTAATCTCTCCTCTCTCCTCCCTTTCCTTTTCCTTTTATTTCTCCTCCTCTGCTTCCTCTTGCTCTCTCTTCAGCCCTCACTCTGTTTTATTAAAGAC